TTAAGGGTAAGGAATTTCCAGTTACAAAAACGATTAGACAAGGTAGAACGAGAATTAGATTTCTATTTTCGGCTAATTCCATTTGAAAGCGACATATCTCTTCAACTACAGGCATATATCTGAGATCTAGAAAGCCTAATGCAGAACTTGAACTTGAAATCCTCCCCTAAAAGAATTTATTCAGGACATCCTGAATGGAGCCGTTTTTATAACTGAGGCGACTGAGCCCGCATTTGTTAAAGCCGTGTTAAGCAAATTAAAAGGGTCTGATCGAGAAAGTTGCAGGGTTAAGCAGTTTAATAGAGTAAGCGCGTTGGTTGATCATTTAAACAAACGTTTTGCTCCCACCAAAAAGTATCAGTGGTATTTTGATAGCATAATGACTCTAAGATTAAAACAAACTGAAACCCTGAGCGACTATTATGACCGACTGCAGGGACTGATCAGTGGCGCCAAATATGCTTTAGAAGCAAAATATAACAAACGTTTTTCGGAAATAGTAGAAGGGGAACGTGGGCGACAGAAATAGGAAGCCGACATCATTATGAAACTCGTTATAGATTGCGCCCTTGAATCTTTTATACGAGGACTCCCCAAGGAAATGACGATTTTAATAGACACGCGAAATTCAGTCAACATAGAAGAAGCACGCGATCCGTGCCGAAGAAAGACAAAGATACTCCGAAAAATCTAGGGCATGGTCATATCATATCACCCGAGTAGAAGATCGAGCGCGCTCAGTCAGTCCTTTTCGCGGCAGGTGGAAAAATCTAGCAACACGGAGAAAAGTCGAGTAGAATTAGATCGAGAAGTGACCCTTTCAAACAAAACTCGTAGTGCCATCCCTAACACACTGCAGCTGACTCCTGAACAATTGTCCCAATATTTCCGGACACAAATCTAATTAAAAATCACGCTGTAAAAACGCTGGAACGTTCCGGTAATGTTTCACGTAGTAAGAAATAATTTTCCTATTTCTACCTACGGAATTTTAGGGCTACACTACTTGCGACAAGAGCAGGCATCTCATTCAACATAAAATTCCTACCATCAATTATAAGTTCATACATAAAAAACAGTATCGGTCCCCGAATGAGGCCTTAAAACAAATCGATACGCGACTAAAAAAGCAATTCGATAGCGGCATTATTGGCCATTCCAAGTCACCCTATAATGCCCCACTTTTGATTGTTCCAAAAAAACATGATGCTTCAGGTGTAAAAAAGTGGAGGGTGGTGGTGGACTATCGGGCCCTAAATGACAATATGATTGGTGATGCTTTTCCACTCCCAAATATCAGCTCAATTCTTGACAGGCTAGGGACCGCTCGCTATTTTACAGTTTTTTACCTTTCTAGCGGTTTTCATCAAGTGGAAACGCATCCAGAGGATCTGCATAAAACTGCCTTCTCGTCGCGAAGCGGACATTTTGAGTACCAAAGGATGCCAATGGGTATAAAGAATGCACCCATCTTTCAACGATTACTTACTGGCGTTTTGAGTACAATGCTTGACGTTGAAGCATTCGTGCACTTGGACTACATCATTACTTATTCTAATACCTTGGAAGAACATGCTAGACGCCTTTTTAATCGACTGCGAGCGGCAAACCTGAAACTTCAGCCTGATAAATGCGAATTCTTAAAAACCGAAGTTCTTTACCTCGACCATATTATAAGTGAAGAAGGCGTGAAACCTAACCCTAGCAAAATAATTGCAATAAAGAATTTCCCGACGCCAACAACCCCTAGGGACATCAAAAGTTTCCTAGGACTATCGGGATATTACCGACAATTTATAAAAAACTATGCAAAATGGGCCAAATCTCTAACGGAACTATTAAAAAAGGACGCCCCCCTGGAATTGGGGAGAATCGCAAAAGAAAAGTTTTTCTCGACTAAGAAAGTATCTCTGCCGCGAACCCATCCTCCAATATCCAGATTTTAACGCAACATTTAAGTTAACGTGTGATGCATCCGAACACGCTATCGGTACAATGTTGACACAAGTAAAGGACGGGGTTGACCTTCCGGTTGCATTCTACTCGAAAATATTAAACGCGAACGAACATCAAACGCGAAGTTTGAATATAAAACGGAAAAAATAAACCGAATTGTCGAAGACTTATCAACCAACCCTGCAGATAGGGTCGAAACTTCAAAGAACAGCTAAGAGTCTGACTGGCCCGACAAGTCCTCTTTGACTTCTGATACATCAGACCCAAATACCATAACCGCTAAGGACACTAATGACAATAAAGAACTAACCGAGAGACCCTCGGAAAACTACCGCGCTTTTCCTATAACAACGCGCTTCTCTTCCAGGCAACCTAAGGCAAGTAGTGCTGGAATAAGTCAAGAAGACCCTGTGGAGTACCCAAAAGACCTTCGAGTACCTCCTGCCTCTGCCCAACAGAAAAAGGGGAAGGGCTGAAGTCGTTTAAATCTAGGGTGGATTCAAATCTCCCTGACAGATCCATGGTGAAGGCCCCCGTCACCTATACTAAAGACAGGAAGGAATCAGATACCCCTTCACAATGGACAGCGAAACTAGGAGGATCAGCAAGTACATCAAACACTAACCGTCCTGCAGAAATAAAAATGACTCATTAAGAAGGCCAAAAGACGCATTACCAAGCCCTAGTGGTGAATCGACTAGCGTAAAGTACCCCGTCCCAGATGCTGCCTCTGCCCACACCTTGCCCGATGAAAAGGGGCCCCCTAGACCAAGAAGAAGACCTAAAGGGACAACAAAGTCCAAGAAGTCATATTATGGTCAACCTTCGTCAAGATCGATAATAGCTGATGCTGATAAAAGCTGCATTGCAAAACGTTTAAGGCCCAGAAAGGGAGTTAGCGTTGTTCATCAATCAAGAGATCCCTCATCCTTAACAAATGAACAATCAGGTGAAGACGACAATGACTCCGGCCTTCCGAAAGGATCACAGCGTTTTTCCACATTTCCCCCCAGACCATGGACTTTTCCGATCTACTGTTTCAATGGTTACCTCCCCTCAAGCTCAAAATACAGTTTCTTATCTTCCATTAATTCCTGACATCTATACGGACGTCTACGTGGACCGGGGCATGTGGCGAGAATGGTGAAGCAAGTCCAAGGGCTGGAATTGGAGTATGGTTTGGACCAAATAACCCACTCAACGTCTCCAAGCGATATAAGGGACAACAAACGAATAATGCATCCGAAATCGAAGCAGCCGCTGTGGCCGCACGCCAAGCGAGAAAGGGAGGAATCCAAAGGTTAATGATTAAAACTGACTTGCAATATCATGGCACGTTCCAGGCCATGATAACATCACTGAAAACGAAAACGCCGATCGCCTGGCTCGAGAAGGAACATTAATGGAACCAGAACCAAGTTCTACATTATCCTCAGAATCGGAGGAAGAGCTACCCCCTGAAAACATCATCAATGAAGTAAAGCGACGTCCAACGAGCAGTGATGAAGATACAGAAAGCCAAGTCGAATTTCAACCGACGGAACCTCTGACCGAAAAAGAGCAAATTATTGACGATGTGGAAAAATCAATCAAAAAGTTCGATACTACTGTTGTCAGTATTGGACTCAACTCCCCTGGGCTTACCAACAACATCTTATTTTGGAACTACGAAGGGTTAGATTGCAGTCCCAGGAAACAGCATGTTTCCGACGGAGAAGAGGATGAGGGACATTTAGAATATCTCAAGTCGCTAGATCCCGCGACTGACTTTGAAGATGGGCTCCCTGCACGAGTTTCTCATCTAAACTTCAACTCTCCACACCAGGACCTCAAGATGCCCCAGAGCTCAATCTAGTCCATTTATTAATTTACGGGATAACGAGGAAGAACAAAGACAATTCGGGTACAAGAAGATAACCGATGTAGTGCCGCGTCGAATTCAACCGTAAGATAGTGAAAATAGTGTAAAGTGCCTCTTCATTCATAGACATTAAGTTTCCCTGTTGTGATCTCCTGTTTCCCCTTTCCTCTACTGAATCCTCGAGTAAGGAGGAGAAGGTGCCAAAGGTACCGACTACCTCAGTGAACGACAAACCTCGTTTAGTCATACATACAAACGTGACAATTATGCTCATTTCATCTCAGAAGACTGTTAGCTCGTGGACTTAATTTCTAAGCTTTTGATTGCTACTGAAAAAATTGACCTCCGGGATATTCACGATAACAAGCCCATCAAGGGACAGATTTACGTTACCCCCTGCGGTAAATATAAGGTTTATGCCGTCATCCTGAAACTACGTCACTATAACGAAGTAAACTGGAATAACGTGATCACGGGACTGAATAAATCTAAAAATCGCCCTCGAAAATGACAAACAAAGATCTTGTCAAATGGAAAATACTGGAGACCTGCTGGGCGCTCTGATCCAAAGTAAAATGTCAGAACTTGTAACAGGAATTTTCCGCGGTGGCGTCGTAACCATCACCTTATGCCACGGAAAAATTGAAGTACCCCCTATTGAGTTACGTCCTAAAATCATTTCTAAATGATGATCAAGCAGCTGAGCGCTTGATCAAAGCGAAGGAAAAATCGAAAATTGACTACTACGATCGATCGATTTCTTGGCAAGATTGACGGACCTGTTGCTGCAATGCTAACGTTTCCACCGAAGAGGTTGCTGCGATTGCCGATCCAGCGCCTATAACCGGCATAACTAAGGTTTTCAATTCTTTTCTTATTTTGCTCAACAGAGCTATTTATCTGTTAAGTACTAAGTTAGCATAATATTTGTTCTTAATATGATTTTCTTACTTTTGACAACTAAGTAATAATATTAAAAAATTTTTTTTCTCCTCTTTGATAAATAATAAAGACCTTGTTCCATTGCAAAAGAAGAGAATATTGCACGTATATATTTCATACGGGGAAAGCCGAATTAATATTGTTCACACTGTTATTTTGCGTAAGTTGTATAAGGCGAATAGAAATATGCATTTTTTTTGGAGATTAACTACCGGAAGGGCAAGAAGTATTTTACTATTTTTAAAAAAGAAGAGAGAGAAAAATTAAGCTGATGTGTCAATGGAAGTATTTATCTCGTTTCGTATTAATAAAGTATACGTCATAATGAGGGTATTCCACTTCTGTTCAGATTTTCTATTCTTAGTTTATTTTTATAATTCTTATAATTATTACAATTCCTCTGACTTCATTTTGTTTGTTGAGATAATAAAAAAGAGGTTATAAAGGAGAAAAGGTTGCTTCTAAAAAAAGAGAAGAAGAAAAGAGGGCAGGGGTTTATAACGTGCCGCTACCACCAATCTTCGTCTTCAACTATTCCCTCCTTTGATTTTATTGTATCCTCGTCTCTTATAAGTCCTTCCTTGCCAACATCTTCCCAAGCCTCATCCTGGTCAACCGCAAAAGTCTGAAAAAAATGGTATGTATGAATGTATATAATTAAAAGGGAGGTTTAAGACAAAATTATCAAAACGAAACACATTAAAACAATATTTATCATTTTATCAAATTGAATAAAAGAACATAACTTACCACTTGCCAATTGGCGTAACATTGTGGTTCCCCTTTCGACGTACGATAAAAAGTTTGTTCTAAGGACAACCGCAGAGCCTTGTAAAAGGGTTGGTAACCCTCTTCTAAAGGTACCCTTGGAAGAAATTGCAAGGACCTAAAGAAAAAAAAATATTTAATGCGCATATCGGGGCCCACACTTACCCAGTAAAAGATTTCATTAAATTATTTGTAACATTGACAATTCCCTGTTATAATCAACTGAAATATGAAGGTCCATTACCGCGTGGCGGTTCCCTCCTTTCCGTTCCAGGCTCCTTGAATGAAATTCAAAATGCAAAGATTCCTAGGGACTCCCGCTGGATTTTGGAAGTTTTTCTACAACAAAAGAAAACACTAGGAATAACTTTATTTTCAACAGTAGTTCTTTTTCTGGGCAATTAATGTTGCACTCGACCAAGAGTTTATAAGTAATAGCGAAATTTACGATTAATTAATTTTAATTTACTTTAATTTTAGTTTTATAATAATTCAGTAATAGTTAATATAATAAATTCAACGTCAAATGTGTTTCTGAGAAAATAATTTCATTATCTTACAGTCGCCCAATAACCCAATTCCCGAATCTTACAGAAAAGCTAAAAAGAAATACATTTTGTTTTGTTTTATCACGGATAAATTAAAAAAAAGGAGAAGAAGAAAAGAAATAAAAAATATATATAATATATATAGTAGAGTTTAACTGAGGAAAATTTATCACTCTGGTTTTCTCCGTGTAGTTAAAAATTTGAAAAGGGATTAATTTGAATTAAAACTGTGACAAATAGTTCTTTTGATAAAGATTAGGTGAAGTGGCTTTTGCTGTGGGCAACAGAATTCAACATGATAAGTAAAAAGAAACGGAAAAAAGAAATTTTTTTTTATTCGAACTCTGAATTTTAACGAATATTTCATTATACACAAATTTTAATCAAGAAATATTTTCCTCTTGCTCAAAGCTTAATAAATTTTAACCCAATTTTTTTTAATTAAAAGAAAAACGATTTAAATAATTAATTTAGAAGAACTGGATAAAATTTGCTAAAAATAGTTAATTTTGTAAAGTAATTCCGTTAATTTTTTTCTTCCTGTTTTTTTTCTCTTGTTTTATAATAAATTCAATTTTGAAAAAAAAAATAAAAATATTTTATATGTATATAAATAATAATAATAATATCTCCCACAATTGCTTTGCGGTCAGGGTCGTTCTATTTTCTCAAAACCCTAAAAGTTTTTTTAATCTTGGACTTAACTCCACAGAAGTTGACATGTCAATCGCACCCTTCACAGCAGGCATCGAGGAAAAGAAGGGCCTGCTACGATATTCTCAGCACCACCGTCCTCCGTCGGAGAAACGCCATACACACGACCCAGGAGGTACGCTCTGAGTCGAGCGAATCTTTCCCCCGGAATCAGAATGCGTATCTTCTGGGCCCTCTCATTTGCGTCCCCATTAGAGAAGGTCGATTCGCTATTTTCCATCGAAATTTCATCCTCCTCTATCTCGCAATAACTTCTCACTAGGTAATTTCGCGAACTTTCCAATTTGAGCAAAACTTTTTCAATAATTTGTTCCGACATCATTAAAAAAAAGAACTTTTTTTCTTCTCCACTTCACAAATTCACAAATTTGAAAAAAGTAATAATAAGAGGGAGGGGCAAAAAAAATTCTGACCGTGCAGTGGACAAACTATTCCGATAACTGCCACAGAGCAACTAAGTTGCGGATGCAATGTGCTGATACACCAGGGGCAACAAGGGCCCATACATTAGTCATAAGACTGCACCGTATCACAGCATTCCTAAACCCCAACGGAAACTGCCATGGTACACCGAAAATAAAATAAAATCTTAAAATGAGAAGATAATTCCTCTCAACTTTTACTTTTACATTTTATTTTCAATATATGAATATTCATCTAAAAAATAGAAGATTCTCTTCTTTAATTTAAGAACATTTTGGTTAGATGATTACTTTTAATCTTTCTTTTTCGATTGAAAGTATTCTTTTCCAATTGAGATTTTTCTTTCTATAACTGATATTATTCCTCTAGAATCATAGTTTTTTTGTTTCTTTACGCACATTTTCAAACTGTTCGAAAAGTGACAGTTAAAAAAGTAAATAATGGACATCGCACTAAGAAACCTTCTATGTGAAGTGGGACTAACAAATTACATCTGTAATTTTGAAAATAATATTAAGTACTTACAATTAATAATGTTATCATAATAAATTAATGTCAATGTTTTTAACCTCTATTCTTTCTATAATTAGAATTTTGTAATATTCCAGTTAGAATTAAATTTTTTCAGCATCATAATCTATAAATATTATTTAAAAATATATATTCATTTTTATATAAATAAAGATAAGAATGAATTTTTCTCTTCCATATTTTTATTTTTAGGAATGTTTATGAATTACTTTTTCGATTTTTTGGAAAGAAGTAAATACAAATTATTTTATAATTAATTCATAAACTTTTTTACTTGCATACTATTCAGTTTATTTTAAAATTAACCTAAGTTAAATGTATTTTTCTTACACTAAAAAATTTTAGTATTTTCATCTTGCCATATTTCGTTCTCTAAAATGATTTCTTTCCCTATAAACAAAGTTTATAGGGTGAACTAACCAATATAATTTCTTCTAATTAAATAAAGAAGATTGACATTTCTGAACTTGACGTAGGATTGAAACAAGATGAATATCTCTTTATTTGAGATTATTCCTCTCAAAATATAGAAGAGGAAAATCCTCTCAATTGGATATGAATACTTTAGTGCCCATACATAAGAAAAAAAATTGCATCAAAAGAAGAGGAATCTTCTAAAATTAAGAACTTATTTTTTTCGGTGTACAAATAATGTAAAGAAAATACATCGGGGTAAAGATTCTTGAGAACCAAATATGGCGTCTGTAAGAAGCAGATAACAAAAGATGAATTGTTATAAAATCTGTCAATAATTACTATTTTCCACACGGAACAAACAAAAATAAAAAAAAGAAGAAGTTTTTTTAAACGAAAAAAGATTACATCTGAATAAGAAGTACATTTTATTATGATATCAAGTGTCTTGCCATTTTAAATAAATTAATTCGGGGAAAAGATTTCGACCACAATATAGAATTTAAAATTGGCAAAATAATATATGAAATTAGTTTCTTCTTGCCGTTCCTATAAGTTTGAACTCTATCGCTACGTCATAATAAAGGTACTATTTATTAAATAAGTGAACAAATGTAATCAATCGTAATTATAAGGAATAATTACTAACTGCACTTGTCTTGTTGGTAGGGATAAGACTCCGTAAAAAAAATAATAATAATAAAATTTGATTTGTTTTCCTGAAAATTATGAAATGTGACAGGATTCATATTTATCTGTAGGAAATTTACACAAACAAATATGATTCATGCTATGAGTAAAAAAAATAAAGAAAAACCCTGAAATTATAAAATAATATTGGATATTAGATATTATATAATCTTAGATATTATAAAAAAAAAATTTTTTACGTGTAACACGTAGGTCGGAAGGAAATTGCGCTACATAATACCACAATAAGACGCAGTCAAGCGCAATGAGTTTTTGGGGCAAAAGCGAAATTTTCACGGTAGATTGTCACGATTTCAGATTGTAACACCAAAATTAAATTTAATAAAATTTTGTATGTATTGTATATTTATATAATGTTGAATGGTTGTGGGTTGCAGGTGATTATATGAATTATTATAAATAACTATATATGATTTTGTGTATTTAATAATCATTTCCTTGTCAAATGTTAATTTCGTTTTGTCTCCCGCTTTTCTTTTCTTGTTCTGTTGCTCGGTGATTAGGCTAACGGCAATGAAATATGAACCACCAACAGCAGATAAGCAGCTCGTAAAAGCGCTTGCCTGTACCTCAAGAGAACTGGCATGATTTGATGGAAGGAATGTTTTCCTTTAATATTCGTCTAGGTTGTAATTAATTTTAAAACTAGTTTAAGTTTAATGATTTTATCCATTAAATGTGTAGACATTTAATAATTAAGGGGATTTAAACGGTGGCGTTACAAACATTTAAATCTAAATAATAAAGCGATGTGGCGGAATTTCAAGTAGTGTCGAAACAAATATTGGGTTGAAAATTAAAGAAAACCAACAAACACGGGCTCCCGGTTTACGAGTATCAACACAACCATGAGTTCTTCGTGCTACGGTAACACACACACGCACCTCTATGTAATGATGCAACTCCGCATGCCTTTACTCGCCGCCTTATCTGTCTTACCGAGATCCCCTCACCCCTCCCCTGGAACTACAACCCTAGAAACTACGGCATTTAAAAACAAACGCACGCGCGTCTGAATTCCAGCCTGGTAAAAAAACACCCGTTGAAGGCGCACTATGAAAATTGAAACCTGATTTTCAATTAGTTTAAACATTTTATTGGAACTCCCCGTTCGCAATAAAATGCCGGAGGAGTGTGAATTACATGTGTACCTAATATAGAAAATACCCCTGTAATTGGCACTAACACAGGATTATACTAATGTTTGTGACTGTGGGTGGGTCACAATTGTAATTAAACTTAACATTACAATTGTGACTTACTATTTATAGTCAACAAAAAAACATTAACGTAAAATATATATATTTAAAAAAAAAATAATATTATATATATGAGGCATTCTTTGTCAAAACCGACACCCCCCTCTCGCACAAATTCTTTTCATTTTAAATTCATGTTTAATGGCTTAAATTTTAGTTAAAGGAATATACTTTTGAAATCTGAGTGGCGTATTTCCAAATACAAAGGGCTAAAAAGGCCTCAAACATTACTTTTTGGATTGTTCAAAATGAATTAGAGTAACTTTTTATTGGTAAATTTAAAGAATAACCTTTATATTGGATCCTATATTTTGTTTTTGGATATATGCCACTCAGATTTCAAAAGTATATTCCTTTAACTAAAATTTAAGCCATTAAACATGAATTTAAAATGAAGAGAATTTGGGCGAGAGGCCGCGTTGACAAAGAATGCCTCATATATAAATAATATTTCCAGAAAAATATCAAATTACTTTTGATATTTCCGTTCTCACGGAGACCATCGTGATATTAAGAAGCATGACAGCCAAATATACTGTCCAATGGGCCTTGTTTTTTCCCTACTTCCATCCTTATTACCCCAAAAACCATAAAATATCCCACCTAGGCTAGGACTAAAGGCATGTTAAAAAAAATTTTAATAGGGGCAGTACAACTTTCCTCGAATATTAACAAACACTTCTCCTGGCTTTAGCTTGGTAAGAGTTCTTTAAGCTTGGAAACGCCGCGACTTAGCCCGTCCGCGCGTCGAGTCCATGTTAAAACTTTATACTAAGTAAACTTGGGTGGACGAAAAAAAGAGAGATAAAAAAAAATGTTTTCTTTTGAATTCTCTAAATCGGCGGAGTCGCGTGGAGGCCATTTTTGGTGAAAAGTACAGTTGTTATTTCCATGCTACAGCTGTGATTTTTGTTTTCCAAACCAGCCATTCCGCATGCAAGTGCCTGAGTCGTCCTAAAATTGGTGGATCCACAGAGAGAGAAAAGTTACAGATCTTAGTTCGCCCGTTGGACGACGTCGTAAAACCCGTGCGTAGACGACGTGCAGCGGTAATTAAGAGACACCTACCGTAAGCAGAATAAGTATCGTTCCTAAAATTAATTTGTTGTATTCCTTAAATTTAATTTTGATAAATAATGATTAATGAAATTTCTAAGTCTTTTCTTATTCTACTTTCGTAACAATTAGTTTCAATTTTCCATTTTCTTTTTCTACACAAAGTGGCTTGGCGGAACGTTTTTTTATTATAAAAAAAGAAGGATAAATGATCCCACTTAAAAATAAACAGAGTTTTAAGCACCTTTTCCTTACACACTTTCGGTTAACTTAAAATTCTAGCAGCTTGGTGCCTCCTCTAACCTCAAAATTGACAATGTCATTTTAGTATAATTTTCTCGTTTGTAACATTATCACTACCGTGTAGCCCGTCAAAATAGCTTTCAAAATCGTTATATATATGTTAACTTTTATGCATTCTACTTATAAATATTGTACATTGAAAAATTTTTTTTTTAAAGTCAAAAATTAAAAACGTAATTCAAAAACTATTTTATCAAATTCAATAATAATTGATTTTTACACTTTCACTAACAATGACAACATTTTTGAAAAGTATGGATTAAATTTAAGAACTTTTAATTTTTTGTTCGGACATTTCAGGAACTTTGCCTCATATATATATTAGGGTGGTCCTTAAAAAACAAATTTTCGAATTTTAAAGTTCGTAACCCCTCATTTTGTTAAGCATGGAAAAATAAGAGACACGTATTTTTTTTTTTTTTTTAAATTAATATTTAATGGTGCCTCATCGCACTTGAATTTTTACATGCATTTTGCATGGGGATAAAACGTTTTTTCGTAGATTTGCTATGAAATGATGAAAAATGAATATTTTTTTATCGGACCACTTTGTTTTTCTTCATTTATGTTCAAAGAATAAGATCCAATAATTTATTTATGAATTTTTAATAACAAATATTTTTTAAACAGCTCCTAAAAACCCTCAAAAAATGCAAAATCAGGGAAAAATCGTTAAAAAATGTTTATTAATATTTTTTATAGTCTTTTTTGCAAGATTTTTTATTTACAAATTGAACAAATACTATTAATCGTATTTTTCAATAATTTGCAATTTGTTTAAACAATATATTGTTGTTACTGTAAAATTGTTGTTAAAAATATCTGGAAAATGATTTTTTTTTAATTTTATAACTTTTATTGACATGAACTGCAATAAATAACAGTTTATTTAAAAAAATGTCAACAAAAATTGTTTAAACAAATTATTTTTGTTATTTTAAAACTAGTGTTTAAATGTATCTACAAAGTTGCTCTTCCCCCTTAATTTTGCAAGTAGTTCTGCTGTTTACAATTGCAATATTATCTTAAATTTCAAACTTCATTTTCGACAATTGTTTAAACAATTTAATTTTTTAATCAATTTAATACTTTTAGATTTTCTAAAATACATACAGTGCGAATTATTAACTGCGGCCCAGCCTAATTCTGACAGTATAGTTTTATTTATAATGTTGCAAGTCGATGTGCTACGACAAGTTTAGACGGGTTTGTTCAGGTAGCACATCGACTTGCAACATTATAAATAAAACTATACTGTCAGAATTAGGCTGGGCCGCAGTTAATAATTCGCACTGTATGTATTTTAGAAAATATAAAAGTATTTAATTGATTAAAAAATTAAATTGTTTAAACAATTGTCGAAAATGAAGTTTGAAATTTAAGATACTATTGCAATTGTAAACAGCAGAACTACTTACAAAATTAAGGGGGAAGAGCAAATTTGTAGATACATTTAAACACTAGTTTTAAAATAACAAAAATAATTTGTTTAAACAATTTTTGTTGACATTTTTTTAAATAAACTGTTATTTATTGCAGTTCATGTCAATAAAAGTTATAAAATTAAAAAAAACATCATTTTCCAGATATTTTTAACAACAATTTTACAGTAACAACAATATATTGTTTAAACAAATTGCAAATTATTGAAAAATACGATTAATAGTATTTGTTCAATTTGTAAATAAAAAATCTTGCAAAAAAGACTATAAAAAATATTAATAAACATTTTTTAACAATTTTTCCCTGATTTTGCATTTTTTGAGGGTTTTTAGGGTCAGTTTAAAAAATATTTGTTATTAAAAATTAATAAATAAATTATTGGATCTTATTCTTTGAACATAAATGAAGAAAAACAAAGTGGTCCGATAAAAAAATATTCATTTTTCATCATTTCATAGCAAATCTACGAAAAAACGTTTTTTCCCCATGCAAAATGCATGTAAAAATTCAAGTGCGATGAGGCACCATTAAATATTAATTTAAAAAAAAAAAAAATACGTGTCTCTTATTTTTCCATGCTTAACAAAATGAGGGGTTACGAACTTTAAAATTCGAAAATTTGTTTTTTAAGGACCACTCTAATATATATAATCTATAAATGTTAAAGGTTTTTATGTTAAATAAATAATATAAAAATTTACTTTTATATTTGTATTTCTTCATATTTTTACATTTTTAATTAATTTTTGGAAGTGCTGCACGCAACCGGGGTTAAATTTTATTTGGTCCGAAAACACTACCTTTTGAAATTCTTTCATAATTCTTCTATTTTAAAATAAAAGTCTAGTTTCTTTACCAAAAGTTAGGTATTTACACTAGCTTTAAAATGGAAACAAATTAATAAATACACATAATTAAACACATGAAAATTAAAAAACCCAAATAAATAATAATACCTGGAATTTAATCTTCTGATAAGAGGGATATACGCTCTATTATGAAAACAAATATCCGCCTTCTTATTAATTGTAGAATCGTTACTTAAAATATGAAACATTTAGGAAATAAAGCGTTTTTTATCATTTTTTTACGATCTTGTATAATGGTATTCTTCCAATCGAAGTCATGATCACAATTTAGTTGATGTGCACGAACCACAGATTTATCGTTTTTGTTATTTTTATGTTCATTGATACGTGTGTTCAATGAGAATTTTGTCTGGCCAATACAATTTGCAGGGCAATTCTTACAATTTAATTTGTAAACTACATTCGATTCTTGATACTTCTCGGTTTGATTTTTACCGAGTTATACTACATATTTTACATTTTTTATTAACAATCGGAATGGAATGAATGTTATGTCGTTTAATAATTTTGACAACTAAGCATTTAACATTGACTATTTGCAATGTAATATTATTTTAAATATTCAGGTATTATTATTAATTAGTTTTTTAATTTATGTATTTATTTATTTGTTGTTTTGTTAAATGAATTAGCCGGAAGAAGATGGTAAACCAAACCATTGAAACGTCGCAAATTGACAAAATAACATAAATTTGTTTTTTTGTTTTTTATCTTCCACTGAAAATTTCACTTCTCATCAAAATATACACATGGAAGGAAATTTCTCATTTATCTATAAAATTTAATGTAGGTAACTGTTAATATTTAGCACTCAACCTTTATATGATTTTTTTAGACTTATTATTTTCTTTAAGTTAGGGGCACTCATTTTATATTAAAATTATAACATTTTTCATTCAATAGACTGTTAAAATCAAGGAGGTCACCTCATTGCGTTTCTCTTGTATTAGACATTTAGGTTTTTTAAATTTGAATATTTTTTGTTTATATTATATTTCATAACGCTATCAAAAATGATATAATTATATATATGTTGAAAATTATGCTTTTTTAAAATATAGAGATGATCCAAATACATAAGATTTGTTCAATATTAATTTTACTACAATATATTTAAATATAAATTGAGCGTACTACCCAATAGAGCGTGCGTTTGAGCGTCGATCGAGATTCAGAATTGGGACGCGCAATTCCAGTTGTTTATATGTTATAAATGAGGGTCCACGCGATTCGAATATAAAAGTTGTCAGACCGTTTTTTATATGGCTAAAATTTTTTAACTTTTACTACCCCCTTCACAGTCGATGACGTGTATACACGTCATGGCATAAGTGGGCTCAAACTGTCGATGACGTGTATACACGCAAGCAGATTTGTGGCTATATAAACAGACATATTTGTCCCAAAATTGTTACTCGGGGGTTTTCGGGGTTTCTGATTACGAATCTGATATCAGTTTTTTAAAATTCAAAATGGCGGATCCAATATGGTGGACGACTTTTTCAAAATTTGATGCGATTCGCTTGAAACTTGTTACTCGGGGGTTTTCGGGGTCGCTGATTACGAATCCGATGTCAGTTATTCAAAATTTCGGATCCAATATGGCGGACGACTTTTTAAAAAATTCATCGGATTCGCTTGAAACTTGTTACTCGGGGGTTTTCGGGGTTTCTGATTACGAATCTGATATCAGTTTTTTAAAATTCAAAATGGCGGATCCAATATGGTGGACGACTTTTTCAAAATTTGATGCGATTCGCTTGAAACTTGTTACTCGGGGGTTTTCGGGGTCGCTGATTACGAATCCGATGTCAGTTATTCAAAATTTCGGATCCAATATGGCGGACGACTTTTTAAAAAATTCATCGGATTCGCTTGAAACTTGTTACTCGGGGGTTTTCGGGGTTGCTGATTACGAATCCGAAGTCAGTTTTTAAAAATTTTTAAAATTTAAAATGGCGGATCCAATATTGCGGACGACTTTTTCAAAATTTGATCGGTTTCGCTTGAAACTTATTACTCGGGGGTTTTCGGTGTCGCGGATTACAAATCCGATGCCAGTTTTCCAAAATTTTGAAAATTCAAAATGGCGGATTCTTTTTTAACGTCTCGATTCCCGTTTGTTATTGTCTGTACAGTACTGTCACTGTCATTTTCGTTGAAGGCGATTGACTGTCAATTGTTTTCGTCATTGCGTTGTTTCTGTGTCGAATGTGTTATTTTTATGCTTCTTTTCACTTTCAAAAATTGTCTCATCTCTGTTTTACTAAATCGATTACCAATTGTTTTTTACAGTCTCGATTCCCGTTTGTTATTGTCTGTACAGTACTGTCACTGTCTTTTTCGTTGAAGGCGATTGACTGTCAATTGTTTTCGTCATTGCGTTGTTTCTGTGTCGTCTGCCATATTGGATCCGCCATTTTAAATTTTGAAAAACTGACATCGGATTCGTAATCAGCGACGCCAAAAACCCCCGAGTATCAAGTTTCAAACGAAACCGATCAAATTTTAAAAAAGTTGTCCGCCATATTGGATCCGCCATTTTGAATTTTCAAAATCTGATGGAAGATTCGTAATCAGCGACCTCAAATACAATAGTATACTTGATTGCGCAAATTTCAGTTTTTAAAAATGTTGGTGACATTTTGAGCCCACTTATGAGATTTGGGTCTCGACTGTGAAGGGGCTACTCTACCAAAAATGGTTTGTGTTCTAGCGAAAAATCTTTAGTTAAATATCTTTTTAACCCTTTGCCTACAGTAGAAAATCCCTACTATGTGAACGCAACCACGTGACCACCTCACTGACGTGTAATACATGAGTGTTAGTGACTAAAGCTCAGGGCTGTAATCGTTCTAAACACACTCAACACCCGAGTAGTAATATAATATCTTTAATTGTATAAATTAACAGAAACAAACGAATTAAAAGTATTTTGTGAGTAATAATAATGCACTTGTGTGCCATTGTAAGAAATATTTAAGGATATGTAGAAGAAAAAATCTAAAAATCCATTTTTTATTATAACCTCAAAATCTGGACAATGTCAAATCATAAAAGGTAAATAGAGAAACTTTTTCTTCTTTACTTACATTAGACAATTATAATAAACAAAAAATTTAAAATTAAATAATAGTAAAAATGAAATTTTAATTTACTCCCAACATGTAAATCATAAAATGGTCCCACCGGTTCTTTGAAGGGTTTTGGATATATGTTTTTGAACTTTGATGATCATTTCTACGAATTTAGTTTTCTTTTTTATTTTTGCTTTGATTCTTTTTAGACTGATATTCTTTCTCAAAATCATCTTCATCAATTTCAGATGCACAGTTTATTTTGAAATTACTATTCTCTTCATCCGAACTAGAATCACTTATAATTTTAAAATATTTTTCTTTCTCGAAAAGATAATTAAATTTTTACGTAAAAACTGACTAACAGTATTTGCGACATTTATTCTAAACACAAATTACAAACGACATTCATGTTTTGGTATTTGGAATCTATTATCAACTTATAGGCGTAGGCAGAAAATAAATATTTTTTTGTAACTTTATTGATAATTACACAGCCCCACAAAAAAGTGCAATGTGTGGCAGACTACAGTACACTACCCCCATGTATTTTGGGCCGCTGATCACGAATCGGGTGTCCGTTTTGGTACAGCACGCCTAGATTTTCTCCTAACCTCAAAAAACGTGTCAGATTTTTGGTCATTTACGAATTTTTTAAAAAATTAATAGATTTATATGAAACTTGGTATCTAGGGGGTTTTAGGGTCGCTGATTACGAACCTGCAATCAGATTTTCAAAATTCAAAATGGCAAATCCAAAATGTTGGACAAATTTTTTTAAAAATTGATGGATTTAAAAGAAAATTGGTACCTAGGGGCTTTTGAGGTTGCTGATTACAAATTTGATGTCGGGTTTTCAAAATTCAAAATGGCGGATCCAATATGGTGGTCGAAATTTATAAATGTTATTAATTTTTTATAAAACTTCGTATCTCTGGGTTTTTGGGGTCGCTGAGTACGCATCTGAAGGTAGATTTTTAAAATTCAAAATAGATCTAATAATGTAGAAGATTAGAAAACAATATATAAAAAATAAAAATTTCCACATATGTGTTTTTTGTATATTGGACACTTTTTTAATGACAAAACAGGCTTTGTAGTAAGTAAGAATATTTTTATTAGATAACAGTAATAAGCTCAAGTAAGATAAATTTAAAGATGTGAAGTGATTGTTTAAAACTGCTGTGCAAAGTAAAAAAGTCTACAATTGTCATTTGTTTTATGTACTATTTTCCGTAACTATGCAACTGAAAACGAACATATAAACAACTGTCATTTGTTTTAACTTTGTCTAATATACAAAAAACACATATATGGAAATTTTTATTTTTTATATATTGTTTTCTAATCTTCTACATTATTAGATCTATTTTGAATTTTAAAAATCTACCTTCAGATGCGTACTCAGCGACCCCAAAAACCCAGAGATACGAAGTTTTATAAAAAATTAATAACATTTATAAATTTCGACCACCATATTGGATCCGCCATTTTGAATTTTGAAAACCCGACATCAAATTTGTAATCAGCAACCCCAAAAACCTTCAAGTAACAAGTTTCAAGTGAATTCGACGAACTTTTATAAATTTGAAACGCCATATTGAATCTGCCATTTTGAATTTTAAAAATCTGACTTCAGATTCGTACTCAGCGACCTTAAAAACCCCTAGATACCAAGTTTTATAAACAATAATTACACAGGCACACAAAAAGTAAAATGTGGTTTGGCCGAGACACTACACTAGTCTATTTTCATGTATTTTTTCACGCCGAATCTGAATCCAAAGTCAGAAATGTTAGATTTGCTCAAATTTTTGAGATAATTGCAATAAAAGGTAAGTAACAAAAAACTCAAAATATTCAAAATCAGTTTTTTGGAATATTCTTCAAAATTTGAGCCTATCTGTCAATTCTGACTTCGAATTCGAATTCAGCGTGAAAAAATACATGAAAATGGACTATCGTAATGTTTCGGCAAAAAAAAATTTCTTTGAGCTAAAATCGCCAAAAACTGATAAAAATTCTGAATTAGGGGCACAGATAATTTTTTTTGACGAAACACTACGATAGTACATTTTCATGTATTTTTTCACGCTGAATCTAAATTCGAAGTCAGAATTGACAGATTGGCTCAAATTTTGAAGATAATTCCAAAAAACTGATTTTGAGTATTTTGAGTTTTTTGTTACTTGGGTTTTTTTGCAATTATCTCAAAAATTTGAGCAAATCTAATAATTCTGACTTTGGATTCGGATTCAGCGACAAAAAATACATGGAATTACACTATCGCAGTGACATTCAAA